CCACAGGTGTGTACAGGTGACACCCACAGGTGTGTACAGGTGACACCCACGGGTGTGCAAAATCCAAACCCGCCCGGGCCAAAAAATCCTGGAATTCTGGTTGGGAATGGCCGGGAATGGTTGGGAATTGTTGGGAATGGTTGGGAATGGTTGGGAATGGTTGGGAATCCAACACAAAACCAGGAAAACCCCGGAATTCCGGTTGGGAATGACCGGGAATGGTTGGGAATGGTTGGGAATGGTCGGGAATGGTTGGGAATCCAACAGAAAACCGGGAAAATGCCGGAATTCCGGTTGGGAATGGTTGGGAATCCAACTCAAAACCGGGAAAATCCCGGAATTCCGGTTGGGAATTGTTGGGAATTGTTGGGAATGGTTGGGAATGGTTGGGAATGGTTGGGAATGGTTGGGAATGGTTGGGAATCCAACACAAAACCAGGAAAACCCCGGAATTCCGGTTGGGAATGACCGGGAATGGTTGGGAATGGTTGGGAATGGTCGGGAATGGTTGGGAATCCAACAGAAAACCGGGAAAATGCCGGAATTCCGGTTGGGAATGGTTGGGAATGGTTGGGAATGGTTGGGAATGGTTGGGAATGGTTGGGAATGGTTGGGAATGGTTGGGAATGGTTGGGAATGGTTGGGAATGGTTGGGAATGGTTGGGAATGGTTGGGAATGGTTGGGAATGGTTGGGAATGGTTGGGAATGGTTGGGAATGGTTGGGAATGGTTGGGAATGGTTGGGAATGGTTGGGAATGGTTGGGAATGGTTGGGAATGGTTGGGAATGGTTGGGAATGGTTGGGAATGGTTGGGAATGGTTGGGAATGGTTGGGAATGGTTGGGAATGGTTGGGAATGGTTGGGAATGGTTGGGAATGGTTGGGAATTCAACAGAAAACCGGGAAAAGCCCGGAATTCCGGTTGGGAATTGTTGGGAATGGTTGGGAATGGTTGGGAATCCAACAAAAAACTGGGAAAACCCCAGAATTCCGGTTGGGAATGGTCGGGAATGACCGGGAATTGTTGGGAATGGTTGGGAATCGTTGGGAATCCAACAGAAAACCGGGAAAAGCCCGGAATTCCGGTTGGAAAGGGTGGGAATGGTTGGGAATGGTTGGGAATGGTTGGGAATCGTTGGGAATCCAACAGAAAACCGGGAAAAGCCCGGAATTCCATTTGGGAATCGTTGGGAATCCAACACAAAACCGGGAAAACGCCAGAATTCCGGTTGGGAATGGTTGGGAATGGTTGGGAATCGTTGGGAATCCAACAGAAAACCGGGAAAATCCCGGAATTCCGGTTGGGAATGGTGGGGAATGTCCGGGAATGGTTGGGAATTGTTGGGAATTGTTGGGAATCCCACTCAAAACCGGGAAAATCCCGGAATTCCGGTTGGGAATGGTCGGGAATGGTCAGGAATGGTTGGGAATGGTTGGGAATCGTTGGGAATCCAACAGAAAACCGGGAAAATCCCGGAATTCCGGTTGGGAATGGTCGGGAATGGTCAGGAATGGTTGGGAATGGTTGGGAATCGTTGGGAATCCAACAGAAAACCGGGAAAATCCCGGAATTCCGGTTGGGAATGGTCGGGAATGGTCAGGAATGGTTGGGAATGGTTGGGAATCCAACAGAAAACCGGGAAAACACCGGAATTCCGGTTGGGAATCGTTGGGAATGGTTGGGAATCCAACTCAAAACCGGGAAAACGCCGGAATTCCGGTTGGGAATGGTTGGGAAAATCCCAGAATTCCGGTTTGGAAGGGTGGGAATGGTCGGGAATTGTTGGGAATTGTTGGGAATGGTTGGGAATGGTTGGGAATCATTGGGAATGGTTGGGAATCCAACTCAAAACCGGGAAAACGCCGGAATTCCGGTAGGGAATGGTTGGGAAAATCCCAGAATTCCGGTTTGGAAGGGTGGGAATGGTCGGGAATTGTTGGGAATTGTTGGGAATGGTTGGGAATGGTTGGGAATCATTGGGAATGGTTGGGAATCCAACTCGAAACCGGGAAAACGCCGGAATTCCGTTCGGGAACGTTCGGGAATTACCTGGGGGCGGTTTGTCGGCTCGCGGGATCGCTCGCCTCGGGAGCGGCGCCGAGCTCACCGGGCCCGGCTTGGGAAGGGACAGCGCGGCCACCTTGGCCTTGGGGCTGGAGGTCGGACTGCTGGACACGCTGGAGAGATCCTGAGGGACAGACGGACACCGGGATCAGCCGGGAATTTGGGGGAAAATCTGGGAATTTTGGGATTTGGGAATGAAAATCTGATTAATTTTGGGATTTTTATTGGGAAAAAAACCCCCTGATAATTCTGGATTTGCTGCTGAGATCCTGAGGGACAGACGGACACCGGGATCAGACGGGAATTTGGGGCAAATCTGGGAATTTTGGGATTTGGGAATGAAAATCTGATTAATTTTGGGATTTTTATTGGGAAAAAAACCCCCTGATAATTCTGGATTTGCTGCTGAGATCCTGAGGGACAGACGGACACCGGGATCAGACGGGAATTTGGGGCAAATCTGGGAATTTTGGGATTTGGGAATGAAAATCTGATTAATTTTGGGATTTTTATTGGGAAAAAAACCCCCTGATAATTCTGGATTTGCTGCTGAGATCCTGAGGGACAGACGGACACCGGGATCAGACGGGAATTTGGGGCAAATCTGGGAATTTTGGGATTTGGGAATGAAAATCTGATTAATTTTGGGATTTTTATTGGGAAAAAAACCCCCTGATAATTCTGGAGATGCTGGAGAGATCCTGAGGGACAGACGGACACCGGGATCAGCCGGGAATTGGGGGAAAATCTGGGAATTTTGGGAATTCTGGGATTTGGGGAAAAATCTGGGAATTTGGGAAAGAAAATCTGGGAATTTTGGGATTTGTAAGATTTGTAGAACCTCTCCCCACTCATTTTTGGCCATTTTTGGACATTTTTGGTCATTTTATGTCATTTTTTGGCCATTTTTGATCATTTTATGTCATTTTTTGGTCATTTTTGGTGATCCAGCTTCTCCAAGCCCCCAGCCCAACCTCCATTTTTGGTCATTTTTGGCCATTTTTGGCCATTTTTGGTCATTTTTGGTCATTTTATGTCACTTTTCAGCCATTTTGACCATTTTATGTCATTTTTCGGCCATTTTCGGCCATTTTTGGTCATTTTTGGTCATTTTATGTCACTTTTCAGCCATTTTGACCATTTTATGTCATTTTTCGGCCATTTTCGGCCATTTTTGGTCATTTTTGGTCATTTTATGTCACTTTTCAGCCATTTTGACCATTTTATGTCATTTTTCGGCCATTTTCGGCCATTTTTGGTCATTTTTGGTCATTTTATGTCACTTTTCGGCCATTTTGACCATTTTATGTCATTTTTCGGCCATTTTCGGCCATTTTTGGTCATTTTTGGTCATTTTTGGTCATTTTTGGTCATTTTTGGTGATCCAGCTTCTCCAAACCCCCATCCCAAACTCCATTTTTGGTCATTTTTGGTCATTTTTGGTCATTTTATGTCACTTTTCGGCCATTTTTGGTCATTTTTGGTCATTTTTGGTCATTTTTGGCCATTTTTGGTCATTTTTGGCCATTTTTGGCCATTTTTGGTCATTTTTGGTGATCCAGCTTCTCCAAACCCCCATCCCAACCTCCATTTTTGGTCATTTTTGGTCATTTTATGTCACTTTTTGTCCATTTTTGCCCATTTTTGCCCATTTTTAATCATTTTATGTCACTTTTCGGCCATTTTTGGTCATTTTTGGCCATTTTTGGTCATTTTTGGTGATCCAGCTTCTCCAAACCCCCATCCCAAACTCCATTTTTGGCCATTTTTGGTCATTTTATGTCACTTTTTGCCCATTTTTGCCCATTTTTAATCATTTTATGTCACTTTTCGGCCATTTTTGGTCATTTTTGGTCATTTTTGGTCATTTTTGGTCATTTTTGGTCATTTTTGGCCATTTTTGGCCATTTTTGGTGATCCAGCTTCTCCAAACCCCCATCCCAACCTCCATTTTTGGCCATTTTTGGTCATTTTTGGTCATTTTTGGCCATTTTTGGTCATTTTTGGTCATTTTTGGCCATTTTTGGTCATTTTTGGTGATCCAGCTTCTCCAAACCCCCATCCCAACCTCCATTTTTGGCCATTTTTGGTCATTTTTGGTCATTTTTGGCCATTTTTGGTCATTTTTGGTCATTTTTGGCCATTTTTGGTCATTTTTGGTGATCCAGCTTCTCCAAACCCCCATCCCAACCTCCATTTTTGGCCATTTTTGGTCATTTTTGGTCATTTTTGGCCATTTTTGGTCATTTTTGGTCATTTTTGGCCATTTTTGGTCATTTTTGGTGATCCAGCTTCTCCAAACCCCCATCCCAACCTCCATTTTTGGCCATTTTTGGTCATTTTATGTCACTTTTTGCCCGTTTTTGCCCGTTTTTGTTCGCTTTTCCCCATTTTCGCTCATTTTGACGCCACAAAAACCCCGTTTTCCCCCCAAAAAAAAACCCCCTCACCTCCGATCCCGAGGGAGAAGCCGGGATTTTGGCCGCAGGTGACGTCGGCCTGCTGCTCCTGTCGGGAATTTCGAAGGACAAATCCCTCCTGCCGCAATCCCGGGGTTTTTTCTTCCTCTCCGCGTCCAAATCCCGCGGCTCCGAGCTCGAGTGGCTCTCGGAGCGGGTCAGGATTCCCGTCAGGAAATCGGCAATCTCATCCTGGGGAGGGTTTTTGGGGTAAAAAATCAGGATTTTAGGGCTGGAAAGGGGAAATTCCCGAAAAAAATGTGTGGTTTGAAGGGCGGGAATTGTGGATTTGGGATCAAAAATGTGGATTTTGGGATCAAAAATGTGGATTTTGGGATAAAAAATGAGGATTTTGGGATAAAAAATGTGGATTTTGGGATCAAAAATGAGGATTTTGGGATAAAAAATGAGGATTTTAGGGCTGGAAATGAAATATTCCCAAAGAAATTGGAGTTTGAAGGGTGGGAATTGTGGATTTGGGATAAAAAATGTGGATTTTGGGATAAAAAATGAGGATTTTGGAATAAAAAAATGAGGATTTTAGGGCTGGAAATGAAATATTCCCAAAGAAATTGGAGTTTGAAGGTTGAGAATTATGGATTTTGGGATAAAAAATGAGGATTTTAGGGCTGGAAATGAAATATTCCCGAATAAATATGAAATCTTACGGAAAGAATTTGTGGTTTGAGGGGTGGGAATTGTGGATTTGGGATCAAAAATGTGGATTTTGGGGTAAAAAATGAGGATTTTGGGATAAAAAATGTGAATTTTGGGATAAAAAATGAGGATTTTAGGGCTGGAAATGCAATATTTCCTAAGAAATTGGAGTTTGAAGGGTGGGAATTGTGGATTTGGGATCAAAAATGTGGATTTTGGGATCAAAAATGTGGATTTTGGGATAAAAAATGAGGATTTAGGGTTACAAAATGTGGATTTTGGGATAAAAAATGAGGATTTT